CATATATATATATATATATATATATATATATATATATATATATATATATCAAACCCTCTGAATTGTGATCCAATTTAAAAGAGGTGTCCAAGTCTTCACCCCTGATGAAGATGTTACACAATCGTGCAGGAGCAGCTCCAGATGTCCTGCAGTCGCTCCCAGCAGCCACAGAGAGGAGGTGCTGCTCCTCGACACTCGTCACCACATTAATCTGTGAGCTGATCCTCAGGAGCTTTATTATCTTCAAAGCTCTCAGCTTTTCAGCTAAGAAGTGTCTGTGTGGAGTTGACCTTTGGCAAAGCAACAGTTAAAAACAAAACAAAAAGATTGTCTTATGGCAGGATACAGAATTTATAAAAACACCTGATTTTACTGTCAAGTGTGTGTCCTTCTATTAAAGGCCTATCAAATCTTCCCCCTCCATCACGGGCTTTGTTCTCTGAAGGATCTGGAGGCTGTGACATTTGTTCCGCCTCCCCACACACACAAACTGAGACATTGTGTGTGTCAGTTTGTGTGTGTTGTGTGTTCTTGGATGTAGAAGTCCAGACAGCCTTCTATCTGTGTGTGGTTCTGGAGGAGAAGCCCAGCACGAGTCACAAGTTTTTACGCTGTCAATTTTGATATGACCAGTTTTTCCATTTGATTACTGATCTCTCCAGGGACCTGAAGCTCCTCTGCTTCATAGTCATCATCAAACGTCCTGAAAACACAATGTACATTCAAGTAATGAACGGATTAGTTCATGTGGTTACCATGGATACGTGTTGTACTGCATACCCTTCATGTAGCTGGTCGTTTGCCGTCTCTTCGGCCACCAGTATCTCATACTCCTCGGAGGCGTATTTATCCCAGTCAGACGGCTCAGGACTTTCACTGTCAATGTCCTGCAACACAAATTCAAACAACACTGCTTCAACAAAACTAAACAACCAAACAGGATATAGGCAGAGAATGTTGTGCTCTGAAGCACAAGTACTAAAGGAACGATAAATGGACTGAACGTATTGATGTATGAGTGATCAAGCACTGATCAATCTTTGTATAGATCTAGTAGAGTGCTGTATGAATGTGTGTGTGGAGGTAAATGAGGACACAGATTGTTGTAAAGAGCTTTGAGCATCTTGATAAGATAGAAAGGTGTAAATAAGTACTGTCCATTTACCATTTATTTATACATATAACACATTTTTTTAATCTAATCAAGATTCTCAAAGCTCTTTAAAACACAATCTGTGTCCTCATTTACCTCCTCACACATTCATACAGCACTTTACTACATCTCTACAAAGATAATCTGGATCCATAGAGAATAATCAGAGCTTTATCCCATTCATACACTGATGGGAAACACATCAGAGGCAATGAGGGGTTCAGTATCTTGCCGAGGGACACTTCAACATCTGACTGCTGGTGAAATCGAACCCCCAACTTTTGCATTGGAGGACGACTGCTCTAACCACTCAAGCCACAGCCGCTTCCAGACTTTAAGGACAGTCCTGAAAGTGACAGTTCAGATCTTTTAAAGGTGGATTCTGACAGCAGCAATGTGTTTTGCTAGACTAGCCATTAGCTCATCAGTCTGGTCAGAATAAAACTCTTATTTTCCAAACTTAATTGGATCAAAACTTTTGCTTTTAAATATTACAAATACATCTATATTTAAGCAGAACTCAGCAATTAGTAATGGTAATGTGAACCCCACAGCGTGTAAATATGAGGAATCCAACTTCACATCATCACAGAGGAGAATAACAACACTTTATTTCATCAGTTATACTCTTTTTCAACCATTTATCACCCACAAACAACAAAACAAGTTGAAACTTTAATCTTATTGACAATTTATGTGTTTGCTTGTGTGTCTAATGCTCAGAAGCTTTCAGAAAGTACTCCTTGGGTTTTATCTACAATTAATTAGCTTTAGTTAGCTTAATTAGTCAGTCTTATTAAAGATGGCTGCCACAGTCAACTAACCTTAAAAACAAAAAAATACTACACCTCAATCAATTTTACAGGTATTGACCTAATATTTGTTGTAGTAGCTGAAACGAAACATATTGCACAAGATCTGTAACTAGAATTTTGCCATTACCTATTTAGTCAACTCTGTCTGTGTTAGCGCAATAATTCATGAGCAACTAAAGGAATTTTAATTACATTTTCTAAAAACAATCACAAAAGATACATTAACAACTGATTACCATTTGAAGTTAACTTAATTCAGGATGACTGCAACAGTCCAGCGACCTTATACTAAAAATGGCTGTAGATGTTACAAATATGCAGCTAAAGTTGGTTGTACTCGCAGCTGAGAGTTGTTCACAACACTCTGAGCGTGACATCTTGCGATAGTGCACAAGCTTGTGCAAGCCAGGAATGCTAGGCCTTTAATTAATATTCACAAAAAAAAGGTTAAATCATATCTGGACAGATTGTTCTTGGAAGAAAATGTTTTGTCTTTCATCTGAAAGGCTTCATCAGTCTGAGGCCTGCCACCGAGGTCTGTCTTATAAATAGCAGCTTACTGATGTGGTTCAAGCCTGCCTGCTGTGGCGTTCACAGAAACCGGCTTGTTATGCATGATGATCCATGTTTTAGACGGAGGGTGTCCTTTTTGCATGTGTAAAGACAGTTTCTGAGAACTCCACAGCAGACTTGAACCACGTCAGTAAGCTGCTATTTACCTGTATATGACAGACCTCGGTGGCAGGCCTCAGACTGATGAAACCTTTCAGATGAAAGATGGGACATTTGAAGAATCTGCCCAGATGATGTGATTTAACGTCCTTTGTGATTTATTTACCTGGATGACTCAGCTTACATACTTAAAAAAAACCCATTATATTTCAGATAGTTTTCTTCGATCTCTCGTTAGAACACTTTTTTCTTTTGTAAAAACAAGGAATTTAGATCAGCACCTTTTGAATGGCAAATGGATCTCTTTGTTCGTGGTCCAGGTATTTCTCCAGATTAAAGAAGGTGTCAAAGAAAATGTGAGCCATGCGGCAGCGCTTCAGATCACTCAGGGTTATTTTACCTGATGGGAACATAGAAAAAGGTTTGAATCCAGAAGCATTATTGTACGTTACTGATGCTGTCTGACGGTGAAATCAGTAAGAAAAAACCTCAGTGATGTCTAACCTGTACTCTCAGGTTTGACCAGGTCAAGCATCTGGCAGAGCAAATCCTGGAAGGGCAGAGGTTCGATGCCCATACTTTCCATCCTCTCACACTGCTCTTCATAGAAATATTCCAACTCATACATGGATAGGACACCATCTCCATCCACATCCATGCAGCGGAACCAGTACTCTATACTGGAAAAACAAAGGCAAAGACAGAAAATAACATGAAATAAGGACGCAGCAGGGCTGACAGGGTCAGTGGTTGTTGAATATTTATCAGCAACAAACAGTGACTGAAAATACCCGTATAATATGCACCAATAAAATAGGTGCTCAGCCACACACGTGCTTTTACCTGGTGGGATTCTTCTTGTCTTCCTCAGACATGAGGAACCAGACAAACTCAGCATAACTCATCCGGCCTTCTTTCTGCACAGCATTACCCCTGGAAACCAAACAAAGACGTTCACTTTCAGCTTTCAGGGTGAAGTAATCAGTTTGTGTGTGTTAATGGACACTTACCGAGTGACAGCCCCGGAAAACAGCCTTTCAATGATTCTGTTTGAGGACGCTGTCAGGGGTTAGAACGACAAATCATTAAGTGGGCGCTGATAGACCAAACAAACTAACTTAGTGAACAGATACACACATTTTGTACCAGGCTAAACAAAGTTTTTAATTAGGACATGTAGATAGTGCTACTTTGAAGAGATATACTTTTTGAAGTGGGCTTCTGTGGAAAGATTTTGTATAATAAGGATATGGATTTTTGGGGCGGCTGTGGCTGAGTGGTTAGAGCAGTCGTCCTCCAATGCGAGAGTTGGGGGTTCGAATCCACCAGCAGTCAAATGTCGAAGTGTCCCTGGGCAAGACACTGAACCCCTCATAGCCTCTGATGTGTGCCCCATCGGTGTATGAATGTGATCTAAAGCACTGATTAGTCTCTTTAGAATGATTTGTTCAATTAGCTTGGTAGAGATCTAGTAGAGTGCTGTATGAATTGGTAAATGAGGCACAGATTGTAGTGTAAAGTGCTTTGAGTATTTTGAAATAAGATAGAAAGGCGCTATATAAGTACAGTCCATTTACCATTTACCATTTTTCAAAATCTTTCCACAGATAGATGTTCCAGATAGCTCTTTGAACAAGCTCCATTTAGAGAAATAGACTTAGTGACCAGTGCGAGTATGGCTATAACCAAAATGGACTGCGGTCATCAAACAACTCCAGTTTCAAAATCTTTGTAGAGGTTTGTTTAAATGCTATTTTATACATTTTCTATATTTCTGACTAGTAGCTCACAGTCTGGTCAGAATTAAACTCTTTTTCTCCAAACTGGGGTCATTCAAAGGTAACAACTGCTATAATTCATTCAATTTCATTCAATTTTCAGGTCTCTCTTGTAAATGAGTCCTCGAGGCTCAATGGGATTTACCTGTCTAAATAAAGGTTGAATGAATAATAATAATTGTACATAACCTTTTCAATAGAACCCCACTTCTAAAGGTCTGAATTACCCCTTTAAAGGGATGGTCATTTCTGAAATGATGTCACTGCACAGAGTACGGCGGAAAATCTCAAATATTTGTTCAGGCTAGGCTAAGGGCTAGCCAAATGTGTTGCTTATCATCAACACAATTGCTGTTCAAACCAGAAAACAGAAATAAACTTAACAAAATGTCACGTGTGAAAGTGTAGTGGTTTAATATTAGATAATGTAGCATTTTTATATCAATTTGTTTTAGAAAAATAATTGTTTTATAAGCATGAAAAATCATATAAAATGACTGGTCATGCTAAACATTAGCCTAGCCTGGACAAAGACTTTGGCTTTTTTCTTCATTGTTTGTGCTCTATGATAGGGTGACCAGATGTCCAGGGACAGTCCCCGTTTTGGACGACCTGTCCCCGGCTAAAGCTGTCCCCAGAAACATCTCCGATTTTAGTCTTTTATGAATCAGGAAAAAAATGTTGCGTGTAGACTGTTATTACAGCAGCTGAGTAGAAAGTGTTAGTAGGCACAACAACAGCTGTTACTGTAGCTGTTAACATTACAGACAGAGAAGAAGAAGAGCCGAGCGTGCCACCTTTAAACCAAAGAAGAAGAAGACCACAGTGAAGTTAGTTTAGTTTTACGTTGGACATTGGCTATTTGTGCTCTGCAGGCAGTCTGATGTGGGTCAGCTGCGCTCGGTCTGCTCTCCCTCCGAGGAGTCGACAACATTCGCTTAGGGACCGTCAACAAATTACCCAACCAAAAACTCTTGAGAAACAGGAATTAATATCTTTTACGTCATGTGACCCACTGACACAGAGCTAATGTTAAATTACTCTACTAGACCTGACAGATGAGACAACTCATTTATGATTTTAATGCATTTACTATTTTTACATAATTCTTTTGTTCAAAATTAATTTATTAATTCAGCTTTTATTTATACAGGTTAGATTCATTGAGTCATGAGGACTCATTTACAAGAGAGACCTATTTAACTGATGGTTTAATTGATTCCTTCCTTATAAAGGAAGTTTCACTGATGTGAAACGTCAATCTGTCAATATGCGTTTGATTACTCTGGAAGGACCCGGAGGTGTGACAAAAAAATTAATTTTGAAACTGAAACTGAATTATAAAACTGAATTTTCAAAGCAAATTAATTCAGTTTCTGATGGTAAAAGTTTCAGCCCATATCAAACCACTTGTGCCGTGCTCTCTAAAATAGTTATAGAATCAAGTGTTTAATTATGGAGGTAAACATAGATATTTAACAACCCGTTAAAATACACCAGAATGCAGGAAATGACATCTACATTATTCAAAATGTTCTGGGGGAGGACATCCAGACCCGTGTGCCCCCCCCCCCCCCCCAATTACAATTGTTTCTGACACCAATGCTACTACTATGACTTTATTTGTTTTATTACTCTTAGGAAATGTGTGTAAAGGCACAATTCTGCTGCTACATTAGATTTTTATTGTTTAAACATGAATAAAAATGTAAAAATGAATAAAACTGTAACTGTCCCTGTTTCTTCATTGCCTGTTGATAACATTTTATTATTTTGTGTCTCCGAGCTGGAAAAGTTCCCAGATATAATTTCAGAAATCTGGTCACCTTAATCTGTGAGTGATAAGTTATTAATTATTGATAACGATTTAACAAAACCTCTATTCAAACATAACCAGACTATTCTGTAAGCAAAAGGCACTTAGCTAAGTGTGTGATCTTTAGAACAGCACATGCAGTTCACATGAACGTTGTCCAGAAAATCTAAACAGATTCAGCTGAACATGTATTTTCTTTTTTAGTTTTTTAATAATAATGATGCTCGCAAAAAGTTTTCTTAAACATTTTGCACACCATCCCAATACTTTTTATCAGTCAGCATTTGCTGTATTTTTTGTACTCCAAGTACAGTGTAATTATTATGCAAACAAAACAAGAGTACCACCGGTACCACCAGTATGTAATAATTCATCAGCAAATTGTTCAATTAATCAAATGGTCTGTACTTATATAGCGCCTTTCTATCTTATTTCAAGATACTCAAAGCACTTTACACTACAATCTGTGTCCTCATTTACCCGTTCATACAGCACTCTACTAGATATCTACAAAGCTAATTGAACAAATCATTCATCAGTGCTTTATCACATTCATACACTGATGGGACACACATCAGAGGCAACGAGGGGTTCAGTGTCTTGCCCAGGAACACTTCGACATGTGACTGCTGGTGGACTCGAACCCCCAACTCTCGCATTGGAGGATGACTGCTCTAACCACTCAGCCACAGTCGCCCCTGAGTTCTAAGTTCAAAGCATAAATTCTCTCACACAACAATCCTGAATAAATGTGTCAATGGAGTGTAAACATGACTGTAGTGGGATGAAAGGTCATTTTCACTGACAGTGACGTTGTTCGTGGTGTAAATCAACAAACAGTTCAGTTAAAGAACATGAAACTGCAAATATCAGTTTCAATGTGAAGAACACTCTTCACGTGTTGATGACAGACTATCCAAACCATTTTATGATCTGAGCAGTACATTTGGAAGAGGTCTGGATAAAAATAAGACCTGTTTTGGAGCCAACGTTTGACATTTTCTTACCTAAACATTCTTGGAGTTATACGATGGACAACTTACTGTTACTGTGTATTGTTTTATTGCTGTATTACTGTGTATTGTTTTATTGCTGTATTACTGTGTATTGTTTAATTGCAGTATTACTGTGTATTGTTTTATTGATGTATTACTGTGTATTGTTTATATGCTGTATTACTGTGTACTTGAATGCTTGTTAAACCTGCAACAGACTAACCAGTCTAATCTCCAGGAACTGGGCAGCATGTTGTTTTCAGTCAAACAAGGGATGACTCAGCTCCTGCCACCTGCTGCAACACCTACACCTGAGGTCAGTCTTCATATTTCTAATCCTACCCAAATGACCACCACAGAGCAAAATTTAAAACAAGCAGAACTTTTTTGTGGAGAGCCTGAAATGTGTGGGGGTTTTGTACTTCAGTGCGAACTAACGTTTCAGAGAGCACCCAGTCTTTATTCTTCAGATGCTGCTAAAATCTCCTTTTTCATCACTCAGCTAAAGGGGGACGCATTACATTGAGCTCATGCTCATTTATCCTCTCACCCTGTCAGTACCTTAAGCTTTTCCTCCCTTTTAGAAGATTTCAAGTGCGTGTTCGATCAACCTCCAACGAGCAGAAGCAGTAAAACGTCTACTCACCCTTCGACAAGGCAGACGCTCTGTTACGGCTCATGCTCTGGAGTTCAGAATCACCGCCGCCCGAACCGGATGGGGAGAGGTCGCACTCAGAGGTACCTTCCTACATTCTCTCTCCAACTCCATAAGAGACCATTTAGCGGCACTAGATGAACCACAAAGTTTGGATGAGCTAATTCAGTTAGCCACATGTATTGATAACCAACTACAAGAACAAAGGTGGGAGAGAAACTATGATTCCCAGATCCAAAAAAGTTCAATCTGGTCCTCTGGACATTCAAAAAAAACCAAAAAAACAAAACAAAGCAAAAAAAATCTAGAAACGTTTCGTCTCTCATCCAAGAGACTTCCTCAGTCTGAGGTGCTGTTTTCAGCTCAGTCTCTTAAATAGCACCTTCTCAGAGTGGATCAACCAGTTTGCTGCTGACAACCAAAACCAGCTGATCACATGCTCAAGAAGGACCATCAGCCTAACAATGGATCATTAGCACACTGATGGCTGTTTACTATTCACAGAGGGCTGAGTGATACTAGCAATCACAGCATTGTAAGAGGGGGACAGTTGAACCCGGAGGCCTCCACCCCTGTTTAATGATGGACGATTTCTTTTCAC